TTTTTTTTTTTTTTTTTTTTGCGATTCTAATATTTATAAGTTATAATAAGTTCTTTAGAGAGCCACCATCATGTAGCGGCTAGACACTCGCCTGCATATAGGAAGATCAAGGGTTCAGCTCCTGGCAGGGCTGTGTTGCTCTTTTTTCTACAGAAATGACCATGACCCCCAGATCGACGCCGATGGGTCTGTAAAGAATAGGTCTGGCCCTATGTACCCAGCAGACCTGATTCTCTCCTCCTTCGTGCCAAAGAACTGCATGGCTGTTGGATGAACAGTCATTAACGAAGGCAGTCAGGTCGTTATAGGGGCAACGCTTGCTGGTGGATGTAATGTCCTAAGCCCCTTCCACAGCTGATAGTGAGGGTACTGCTGGGGTGACCGTTTATAAACCCTCACATAATACTTCAGGTCAAAATGGACGCTAGGCACGGCCACTTTATCTTAGCCGTGGCAAATTTTTTGCTTCTGAAAGAGGGTGGCGGTTGCATTTTTGCTCCATTTGTAGACTGGAAGGATATAGTTTTGTTGCCCAGCTTCTGAGTTGAGTGTATGGCGTAACACTGTGAGCTGTGGATTTAATTTGAACAGTGATAAACAGGAGCGGAGCTACTATGGGGTGACCTGTTTGCTATGAAGCTAAAACTAAGATTACCAGATTACCAGACCTGATGCCGTGGAAAAAAGTCATTTTTTTTAAATTACGTTTATGCCCAGTACACCTAGTGGCATGGAAAACGGGCCTTTATCTTGACTTAATAAGTTCTTTAGTGCAACTATAAAAAATTCTGGGGTCTGTGACAAACCTTCACAAATAAGTGGGGCCCTCCAGTCTTAGCTAATTAGGAACTGCTGAGTTAGATAACTAAGACATAGAGTAAAGAAAAAGTAAAGGACTCATTTTTACACCTTGTGGCCTATATTCTATAGACCAATCAGCACTGGGTGGATGATGTGGTCAGCATCATGCCAGCGGCCTTTACTTCCCAGAACTGTACCTGTTACCCGATCAAGGCTGGGTCGACCTGAGAGCCAAGGAACTAAGACATACAGTGACACAATTCCATTTGATCTTTTTATAACAGTGAAAAACATGTCCCAAACGAAATTACAGAATACACATCCTGTAGTTTTTTGTTTTTTACAGATACCATTAAATATCAAATGTGATAAACTCTTTCAGCACAAACAGGTAATTTATGACTATTTTTATCCTTGGTTTTACTTTAAATTAGCCAATGTTTGGGTCAGAAAAACATCACAATATGACACTATAAGAACTTAAATTGGTTAATATAGCACATGTCTGCGGTAGAAGAGAATCAACAAGAAGTATATTTATCAGGACTGACCCATGAATCTAATGGGAATTGAATGATATAGAAAGAGTTAAAACACTTACAAAAAAACATTGAAAATTCATTTGGAATGGAGTACATTTTTAATTGTTTAAATTTTTTTTTAGTTAACAGTATTTTGTAAAGTGGGGCTATATGTTCATAGCTGCCTTTCATTCTCAGCTATCGAAAGTGTTGTTTTTTTTAATTGTCATAGTGAACGCCACATTGTTAAATGTCTATATTATTGCCACATTTTTGTATTTAATTAAGTCAAGTAATGGTTGCATAATCACCAGACTTTGTGTTTGGATTGATTATTGAATTCACAGGTGAACGCTGCTATATATTATTTCTATATTTATTATTGTCAGATTTGGATATATTAAATGTTGGAACAGACAGTGTTTTGGTTTAACATTGATGTTATGTGGATTGCTGTTTTGAATCATTGACAGACCAACCTTAACTCTTTGAGTCCCAAGGAAGGCATCATACGTTCATAAATTCCTACCTAGAAGCCCAGTGAACACAAGATGTGCAGATTTTACATCTTTCTTGACTACCCCTTGGGCCTGTGATGCTAAACCCCCTGGGACTCAAAGAGTTAAGGAGCATCGAACTGGTCAGTACATTAATGGACTCAGGTTTTGAGACAAGGCTAAAGTTCAGAAGTGGATGAAAACAGAATTTTTCACTGGAATTTCCAGCCATGACCGAGAAGAAGGAAAAGAAGAAGAAGAAGAAGAAGGAAGAAAGACGTTGGCCTCCTCCCACCCCCTTTTTTAATACACATTTTCAAAGTGTCTGTAGATGCCTTGCTTAAGTGCTTGTTAATAATCAGTAGCTGCAGCAGCAGCAGTAGTAGTAGTAGTAGGTGCCTTACAATTTAGATTAGGCCCCTTTAACTTAGGGAAGGGAAGGGGGTGCGCAGATGCCCCTGACAACACAGTTCACAGTTTTGGAGAAATAAAAAAAGTTAATTGTGGTAAAGCTGCAAAATACATCGAATAATATGCAAATGCCTTAAACATTGATGGTAAAGATATAACAATTAAAAAATTTTTAAATAAAAAACATATATTAAGAAGCAGCAATAAGGATTTACAACAAAGTTTGAACTTTTCAAAACATTAAACAATGTGTTAGACAGCGATGTGTAGTATCACCCGATTTATTCAATTTGTACAGTGAAATAATAATTAGATCCATACATAGCTTATGCCAGCAATAACGGTTGGTGGGCATGTTAGCAACCTGCGATAAACTGGCGACATAATTTTGATAGTTGAAAATGAAACACAACTGCAAGAAGTGATGGATATAATTGTAACAAAAAGGGTCTTATTTTGAACAGTAGAAAAACATAGGTAATGGTAATTACAACAAAGAAAACTGACCCTCCAAAATGCTACATCAAAGTAAATGGGACAAATCTCAAGCAAGTTGATATGTTTAAGTACTTGGGTACCCTGATAGCATCAGATTGAAGATGTGTTAAGGAAGTCAAACAGCTCAAGCAAAGGCAGCATTTTACACAATGAAGAATATTTTTTGCAATCTTTCTTTGACTGTTGAGACGAGAAAGTGAATTCTTCAAAAGCTATATAAATCCTATCTTGAAATACGGAAGTGAACCAGGGTCAGTCGGTTGATTAGTGAAAAAATTTTTGGAAGTTGCCGAGATGTGGTTTTAAAGACGAATCATGAGAATACTCTGGATAGATTTAAACAAAAAGTAATGAGGGTGTCCTGAGAGAATGACTCCTGAAGAGAACTGATTGCCGCCATCAGAAAAAGACAATCTACATTCTTTGGTCATGTGATGAGAAGGAGAAAACTGGAGTACATGGTGACAGCAGGAAAGTTAGAGGGGAAGAGAGGCAGAGGGAGACAGAGAGAAAAGATGCTGGACAGTTTGACATCATGGAATTGAGGATCATCTGTCATTGATTGAATGTACACAAGACAGAAGGTTGTGGGCAGACATGAATACCAGCGCCACACGGCATGGACTTTAAGAAGAAGAAGAATATACAAATATGACACATGGCAGATTAAAATATTAACAAATATTGAACACAAATTTGGGTCCCTGGAATTCCTGAGCTAAATTACTAATATATACTCTTATTCCACCCATTTCCCTCATTGTAAATATCTTGAAAATGCTACTAAACCCTACTATGGTTATTTGGTGTCACTTCCAGTTTTCAGTCACTGCAATGTTTCCCGTTTGTTGTGTTTCTGACCCACACCCCTTCCACACATACACGGGAACGCGCGCAAGCACACATACACTTTGGTACAGTTTAATTTCACAGTACTAGATTTGGTTAACGGTTCATTGTTTTGTGTGTGTGTGTGTGTGTGTGATGGTGCCTTTAATTGTCATAACAGTTGTGGAGTGTGAATATACACCAATTTTTGGTGTATAATACGTATGATAGGCAAACAATTCTCATATCACGATGAAACCAGAATTGGGAATCATTGCAAATGAAAAAAGGTCTTCCTGACCAAGAGGTGAAACCATTTGTCTTGTGCTCTGAAGGTTGTGAATTCGTTTAGCAGACTGAGACGAGATATAACGTTTAACAGAATGAGACGAGATATAACGTTTAGCAGACTGCGTCGGTCAGTTCATGAGTGCAGTTTTTACTGTGACTTCTTTTTTGTGACTTTATTGTGAGTACTCTAATGTATTTTAACACCTCTATGGATAATTTCTCAAGCGAACATATTTGGAAGTTTGATTTTTTTTTTCAGTCCTGGACATTTCCAGGAGGGTCGTCCCTCGAATCTTGAAATTTGGAAACTGGGGGACAAAAACGTCTGTCCTTTGACCCGAGATTGAAATGTAAGTTATATTAGCCGTGTGATTCCGACAAGGACACTGGACATAAGCAAGTTTCCTGGCGACTAGCATGAACAATTATCCTAGTTCTGTCCACGTGTTGCACAATCCGACATGGTCTGACCTGAGTCAGAAAGCAGGATAACCGCACGTTGGGCATCACAAAAAGAACCCTCCATCCCCAAATTCAGCAGTCAGCGCAGTCCTAATACCAACGGAAGTTCCACATATCTACCTTGTCGAAAGTTATTTTTACAACTTATGGCGTTCTTGAAATCGTAAATCCATTCGCTCCTTGCCTCGCATTACAGCATCACCATGAAAGTATAGCCGGACGAATCCCCTGAACCATGCTATGACGATGGAGAAATAATATACAAAAGTTTGTAGTATGCATTTTCGCTAATTTGCGCTTCGACCATTTTATTAACCGACATAAATGAAATGTACTGTTAACCTTTAACTGTTCTTCTTGTTCTTCACTTGCCACGTAATGACACTCCAAAAGCTTCCCCCTGTTCTCTTTTACAGATATTTCTCAAGCCACTTTTTGGTGCGCACATACAACTATATCGTTATCGTACAAGCTTTCTCCTAGCATGCTCTTCATATGATCAGCTTGATTAGACTTGGTACTCAAAGCCCGATACTGTATAGTCCTTTGAGAACTGCATCACTGACAAACAATCATCTAAGTGGGCAAATCTTAGCATTATAACTCACAGTTAAACGAATATGTTGTTGTGGCTGAACCCAACGATATAAACCACGGGCGTTCTTCCATTGTAGGCTGTTTTTAAACTGACTTAAACCATTTGAGCTGTCATTAGGCCTTTGCCGTAAGAGTTCAATTTAGCTGGAATGTTTACGTTTCGGAGTTGCTGTTCAGTGGGGTAAGAGATGTATCCCATAGCATTCAAGACCTTCCTGCACGTCTGGTCCACCTCTCTGGCCAGTGGAAACGGAAGTTCGTGTCTCCAACGATATGCAGTTTTGAAAGGGTATTTCCGCGCTGTCTTTTTTGCTGTAAAAGGGGAAAAGGGGGGAGGGGGGGGGATCTGAAGTTAATTAAGATACAAACACAGACATGTCCGCAATATGTCAGACAGTACATTTAAATAATTACGCGACTTATAAATATAAAATAACAAATATTTACTCTGAAAAATTCATTATTACTATATATTTCAATTATAACCTGAGGATTAAACAGGATATTGTTGAAAAAATACTACTACTACTACATTTCCGCTCACAGAAACACGCATTTATACACAGACATCAATACAGATACTTAAAGTGGCATAATGTTGTGTTTGTTATATATGTTCTTTGTCGTTATCTGACATACCGTTTCTTCCAGAAAGCCCGCTGCCATTCTCAAGCATTTCGGCTCAGATGTAACTAGGTTCCCCCCCCCCCTTTTTTTTTACCCCTACGCTCCAAACACCCCCCCCCCCCCACCCCACATCCCCCACCCCCATCCCCTTTTTCCGTGTGATGTTTTTTAAAGGAACAGAGTTTGTCACTGGTTACACATTTCTGGAAGAAAATTTACTGTCTACCATTTGTCGCTTGACTTCAGTCGTAATCTTCGTATGCACGATAAAAATGACTGCTGATAAGTTTCTGTGTCTGCCGTTCTGCATCTTGTTTATATCTGTCTCTGGCACATTCCATCATCTATGAAAATACTGCCCAGATATTTAAACAATATAGCTTCTTTAACATTTGCTATCTTTAAATATAAAACTGGTGGTCAGTATAGCGGATAGGCAGCCTTACTGATTTTATTCATATAAGTTTTTGTGTGTGCTTCTGGCAGTTGTTATCTGTTGCATATTTCTCTCCATATATGGACCGACAGGATACAGTTCCCTTGCCTAGCTACCGAGCTGAGTTCATAGCGTGACACGTCAAAGTCAATGTCCTTTTGAGAAAACAAAAGAAAAGCACGACCACGTTCAGACTGCTGCTAGCTAGCCTAGGTTGCTAGCAGTCTCCGCCTATATTTGTGGTCTGGGTTATTTGCGTCACTTTCGTGACTGAATACTAGAGTTTGTGCCATTTCTGGGCTTGATGCTTCCACCCGAATCAAACCGCTCGTCCTGTTGTCACTGGTGCATGTCTTCCTTCTGCTTTCTTGGTGTTTCCTGTTTGTTCTGTCTCCCTTTGATCTGTCTAGGCGTATCTCGAAGAACAGCGAGCTTCCATACGCAACGTCTTTCATGACGTGACACTGTAAGTTGCGGATTTCATTTGGAATGCTTTTCCACGGTGCCAAACGTGGTTGGGGATATGAACTGCAGATTCAGAGAGCTGATGTTATATCTAAAAATAGCCGGGCGATAAATATGCCCTAACGGCAACGGGGTTTCCGGGACCTGTCCACGGGTGATCCTCATCCGCATGGTGGCACCTTGTGTCACCAGGTGTTTATCGCTCTGTGTTATGTCCTGGTGATTTAGAATTTACTTACTTACTAGAGCTAATGGTACCTTAATCAATCAGCTGCGTATGCTGTAATGATGGCACTGCGATTATTTGCTTACCTAAACTATAATTTTACTATAGTTTATCACAATACACGCCCGGCTCTTTAGCGTAGTTGGCTAAACCAGATTGCGCGGAGACCGGGTGATGAACTCCTTGTGGTCAGGGTTCAATCCCGGGGGTAGGCAGAAAAGCCACATTTCTCCCAGATTTACGGTATTTACAATTGAATCAAGGCCGAAAGGTTGCGATATCCATAATACCGAGCCTAAGGGTTAACAACTCATGGCTTCTGGATACTAAAACAAAAAAACAAACATCACAATACACAGGTGGACGTTTTATTTTAGCTGGTCAACTTTAATACCATAACTTTTAAGGCGAAAGAAGTTCCATAGTAGATACTGCTGTTTGTGGGTGACGTACTCGGACATTCTAGGCCAATACAAATAAGGTGGGTTGGGCAGTTCGTTTCTTTGATGCCTGTCTGTCTTCCTCAGACTTCTGCCAATAACTTCCAAATCATGAGCAAACCGGCTGCCTGTTTGCCTGTCAGTAGTTTCTAGGGCTGTGCCGAATATTCGCCTTGTATTCGCTTCGGGGCCGAATAGTGGACCTAATAACTATTCGGTATTCGGCCGAATAGTTGCGGTCGGGCCGAATACGAATAGTGGTTACCTTACTCACGTTTCTGCATACACTGTGATGGAGTGAAATAACTCTCTCATTAACACAATAGTTTCTGTTGCCTTAGTCTGTCGTAGCGGGGGAAAGTGCAACCCGGTTGCGTGGTGCAAACTGCATAAAATGCCA